AATAGGTGGTTTTTTATTTGATCGAAAAGATAACAGCTGAGAATAGAACTAATTCGATGCAGGAAGGCAACTGTTACTTTTGTAAGCGAATGATTTAAAAATCGCACGGTCTCTCTTGCATCTTTCGCATTCTCGAGCGCTTCCAGGTACCATTGTAATCGCAGGTGATGCCGGTGGCGAACAACATGAAATATCCACATCATTTCCTAGGATGTCCTAGCGTACTTAACATCACGATGACGATAGTCGTGAGTCTGTACGCTATGATGGGAGTGTTCGGTTACGTCGCTTTCGGCGAAGATGTACAACCCAGCATCACGTTGAGTCTGCCAACGGAAGAAATGTGAGTAGATATCTCTTTTTGCTAAATGTTAATGTCATTTTGATACATGCGTTGTAAACTGATGAGTGGTAATGTTTTAGTCCGGCCCAAGTGGTGAAGGCCCTCATTGCTTTAGCTGTTCTCTTTACTTACGGTCTGCAGCTCTTCGTGCCCCTCGAGATCATGTGGAATTCCATAAGACACTTGTTTAATCATAAGTTCCTGGCCTTGGGCGAAACGGTGATGAGAATATGCATTGTTATGCTAACAGGTAAAATGTTAAATTATTCGAACGAGAAGCTGCTACTGTAAATCTGAACGGCTTAATTATAAATAGAAACAAATTCAATCTAGGCTATAGACAAATGATTAAAATGTAAATCAAACGAAAAAATGCTAATAACAATTTTAAGAATATGGATTTAAAATATTGCGGCTATACGAAGCGAGTGTTATTAAATGCGAAAAACCGGTCGTTGCAGACGTAATGATTTTTTACCTGATTGGAAAGGATAACAGAGAATAGAAATAGTTTCGACACAAGAAAGCAACTCTGCTGCTTGTATAAGCAGATGATTCACAAATTTACAAATCGTCTACATCATTCGTGCCTTTTTTCGTATCCATAAATGGATCTCTAAAGAAAGGACATACGATTTTTGAAAAGAATTAGAAGTAATTATACCATATTTTTATTCCAGATTCATTTTATAGAATTTTCTTTCTTATGCCATAAATTTTTTCCCTCTTCTCTTTTCTTTTTTATTAGAATCTTAACTCTTTGAGAGACGTAAATTATAGAATTTCAAACTGAAATATGATATAATTAATCGTGGACAAATATTTTTCACATTTTTGAGCGGTTTTATTTATAATCTGTTCTTATTTCAAGACTGTCTTAAGTAATGTCTTAAGATGCTAATATCGCCCTCTGATTTGTTCATGATATCTTAAGATTGTATTTAAGATGGTTCTAAATATTAGCGCGCTCTCTCTCTCTCTCTCTCTCTCTCTCTCTCTCTCTCTCCAAGTATGAATAAAGACCACTTTTTACCGAAAGATTTATTACGTGAGATCAGAGATACGACTAATCTATCAGAATTGCAATAACGAGTCTAGCAAAATGGTTAGACAGTTATCAGATATACTTAAAGAGACATGTTTTTCAATAGGCCAAAAGTTAACACCGCTTTCCCGTAACCTTTTCCTGTTGCGTTTTTGCCGCGACATTCTAGCGATTGCGAGATGGAGAAACCGCGATGAATCACGCATTCTCGACAGAGAGGAGGTCGAGTCGCAGACCCAATCGGTAGGCCGATTGAATGATCGGTGTCACCCACTTACCCGCGTGCGTGTACGCGTGATGTGCCTTTTTATCATCAAGTGTACCGAGAAAGAAAGGAATCGTCTGCTTTATTCGACTTGGATCAGTTCTTTCGTTCGGTGCAATAGATTTGGCCCACTTTGGGTCATGTGTCCGATTCAACACTCTCATTGTTACGATAGATTTTTTTCGATTATTAGAAGTTTTCCTCTAAATACTAACCCCTCTAAACAGTATGTAATAGTACATAAATATTATAATTTGCCGTTCAACAATAAATGTAATGTAACACGTGTTATACATAACAACAGTTACATTGTTCAGTAGGAAATTATAACATCGATGTAATGTTACTTTATGTTCAACGAATTCCGATGCGTCGAATAATTGTAAGCACATAAATACTCGAGTGTCTCAAATATCTAAGTACCGTGAAAATTGTGTTACTCGTTTGCAACTTATATATATGTTTCCTTTTCCTTTATTCGATATTTATGTAAAGTATAATCAGAATATTATGCGATTAATAACACGTTTTTTTTTTATAATTATGGCCAAAATTTATTGCTAGTACTGAAAATCTATAATATATGTGACGTAAACTATAGATTTTCTTAGGTTTATTATAAATGTAATGTAAACTTTAATTCAATCGGAAAACGCTCGATAATTAATATATTTGTCATACATTATGATTTTTTTTTACAGTGGTTTTCGCGCTGCTGGTGCCTGATTTGGATCCGTTCATTTCTCTAGTCGGTGCAATATTCTTTTCTATCCTCGGCATTAGTATCCCAGCTGTCATCGAGACGATTTCGTGCTGGGAAAGCCATTTGGGTACTTTCAACTGGCGGTTATGGAAAAACTCTGTGCTAATTATATTCTCGTTATTAGCGTTAATATTTGGTTCATTGATCTCAGTGCAAGATATAATCAACCTTCGAAGCGACAAATAAATTTTAGTATTTTATTTAATGTTTTATTTTAATTTCGTATACAATTGGAACTCCAGTGTCGACAAGAAACGCAACGAGGTTTTTAATGGAACAACTAATTAGCAATACGTACTTTGTATATTCTCGTTATTTGCGTTTGTATTTGACTCGTGGATCTCAATATTATATAGATATAATGAAGTATTATAGTTAATAATATATTTTACTGAATTTACTGTTTTATTTACGTCTCTTCTTAATTTCCTGCACTATATATACACTTACTATTAGCTGTTTATATTAAAGATGAAATAAAGAGATAAATTGAATGTTCTAGTGCGAGAATGGAAAAAAAGTTTCACAACTGATAGGCTCTGTTTTAATTACAATTTCCATACATTATAAATATAATCATCACGAATTAGCTATCATTCTCATTATTCATGTATCGTTTAATTTCAAGATCGTTGATACAACTTCATTGATATATACTGATGGAGAAAGCAACACTTGCTAATATCCACAAGTCAACTTATTGATTGATATTTATGTTGAAATGTTCTTTTCCCTTTATCTTGTCATTTCGTGTATAATCAGATCTAAAACAGAGTTTATCGTCCAGATTCAATATAGGTTATTTTTTAATTTCTGAGATACTCGATTACGCTATCGATTATTAATTAAATTCTAGATATATTAATCACAGTGCTTTTTTGACAAGCTTGTGAATAATGCATGTTATTGATAAGGAAGTAATAATAATATCTAATTTGTTATAACTGATTTTAATGATTTTGATAATAATATCCTCAAATGTGTTAAATTTTTATGTAGAATTTATAATAATTTATAATAATCGTAATTACAAATGACGAATACTTGACTTCTTTACATTTTTAATATTTTCCTTAAATTTAATTATTCCAATTTTTAATTATTATTTTAATAATGTATTGTTATATAATTAGATATATTCTGTGGGCATCGTAGAACACTGTTCACGATTCGAGCTTGATACCGCAAGATAGCAAAAAGAATTCAGTCATATGTCACGAATTCTGAGTTAATTTTCAAATGCAATAAAAAGAATTCTTTTCAGAACCATTCGGAAAAAGAATACTTTTTGTATCTAAAAATTAATTCTAAATTAATGACATAACAACTGTCCCGCCTGTTTTGATCTAATATTATACGGAGCACAATTTCCGCGGAAAAACGGAACGATATGACAAATACACTTTTGCATTTATTTTAAGAATTGTATTCACTTAATTTATTGCAATTTTTAATAATATGCCTTTCAGCTTATATGTATTGAATGCAAGCATTTTAATCAATAAATACTGTTAAAAATTAATAATTTCTAATTGCCCATTCCGTTTTTTCGCTCAAATTGTGCTCCATATAATATTAGGAGATCAAAACAGGAACACAACGTGCGGAAACGCGAAAATTTAGTAAACTTTAGTTAATTTTGTCTTCCGCGTTTCTACATTTCTGCGCTTCATGTAATGGCACCCTTACAATGGCTGTGTTCGAAAATGTTACTCGAGTACTTCCGTGATCTCCGTATATTAGTTTATCCTTGTTCACCAATGTTAAACAAGGATAAGATGATAGACGGGGCACCCGGGTAACGTTTTCGAACGCAATCAGCTCTATCAATCTTGTAACTAAAAAGAATATTTTCGACACAGCTATCGGAACACAATCACAAATTGAGCTTATTTGAAATGGGAACGAGTCATATGAATTTTTGTAAATAAGCTCAAAACTTAATTGATTGACAAATCTCCCTATTACTTTCAATTTATTGCACATTCACCAGAGTGGATCCGTCTAAAGATACATTTTCATTCCAACCGTCTTTTTTAGCGACAAAATGGATCACGTAACCAAAATTGACGAATACCAAGCATCAATTTTGATCACGTGATCCTTTTTGTCAATTGATTTGAACTGTTCATGAAAAGCGGCTAAAGTTCTTGCACGGTTCTCTCCATCTTGGAAAAAGAAAAAATATGAACCGTTTAAAAAGTTCAGATAAAAACAGACCTAATAAGTAATTACGAATAGAGTATTGATTATTTATTATGCGTAAAACTGAAAGTTTGTTCGCGTCGAATGCTCTAACATGCTCCAGCTACAGTTCTTACTCACTTTAATAAGCTTATTGAAGTGAGTAGGAACTATGATAGGAGCATATTGGAGCATGTCGGAGCCATACAATGCAAACAAACCTTTGTCATACTAGTTACGCACTGAACTATATATACATTGGAATGAGCATCTCCGCTGTGGAGCATAGAAAATCGTGGCACCAATTAATCAGCGCCATTTTAATTGGTCAATATAAGAGCGAATCAAAAGCTTTCAGGTGCTCATGCGCATTTACGTTTAGTGTCCTTTAATGAGACACACATGTCAAGATCATCGTGTGTGGAATTATATTTGAAAGATTACTTTAAAAGATTATAAAATCGCGTGACTGTAAAATATACAAAGCATCAACATGAAGTGCTGGGTGTGAGCAAAGAAGTAAAAAGGTATTTTATTTCATAAATAAGAATTTTTATATTAAATGTATCAATTCCTGCACATGTGTTAACGATATAGGACATGAAAAGTATTACTAATGTTATTTTATTGAATGTACTAATAAAACTGAAATGACATTATTTTTGTTTAGATACCATTCATATCTATATAGATTTCTATCTATCGATACATCGATCGCAGCCCGTGCATGAACGCTTCTGATTCGCTCAAACATCATCCTAACTAAAATGGCGGCTGATCAATTATGGTCACAAATTTTTCTCGATGCTCATTCTAGTGTATACATAGTTTAGTGTAGTTTCGGAATCCTCTAAATATTTTATCGACAATTATCGCAATCGTTAACTAGCGATAGCTAATGAGTACCACGTTTTCTTCCAGAATAGTCTTGCCATCGATGAAATATTAAAGACCGTCAATTCTGGACAAATTTTCGGCGATATAAAAAGGACCTCAAGGGCCCGGAGGTAATTGAAGAATGCTGATATTATCGACAATTGATATAAATTTGCTATTATTAACATAAATATTTGACTTATACATTATTAAATTTCATGATTTTTTATTACATAAATGTTCCATAAATAAATATGCATACTTGTAAAGCTGTAATATCCTATATATTGTAGAAAAATTACAATTTTTTTTTCTGCAGTTATCATCTCTGTTGATAATCAAATTTTGATGACAACACTAAAATCACAATTTTAAAGAAAAATCAAGTATTATTGAGTTCTAAATGCATAAATACGTCTATTAAATTAATAAATCATAAAATAAATACAATATTATCAGTTTTTAACTCTTAATCACTTCAATATTCACAAGGACGCGACCTCCCATAAGGATGTCGGTCTTTAATAATATCTTGTCAGTGGTCCTGCTATTGGCTATCGCTAGTTAACGATAGCGACAATCATCGATAAAACGTTTAGAGAATACTGCTACAAGGCTGCGTTCGGAAATATCATCTGAGTGCCCCCACGTATTTTATTCTTATCGTTCACCCAATGTTAAACAAGGATAAATTAATACACAGAGACATCTAGGTGATATTTCTGAACGCAGGCGTATTGAAACAAAATCTGCCTAAAAATGGCGGACTAAAAGATCAAGCTGTGATTGGCTGCAGCAATTAAACATGCGCAAGAACACACCCTTGTCTACTTAAACTTGCATCATGAACTCCCCTAACATCACACACTGTGTCTACACTGTCTACAGCAGTTACAGTAGCGACAAAAGGTACGTTCGGAGAGACGCTATTAGCTCTATTTATCATTCTATTCTTGTTTTACGTGTAACGAACGACGAAGATAGAATGATAAAATAGCGTCACTCCGAACTGCTCCGAACGCACCAAAAGTGAAGCAGAATTGACCACATTCGACTTGATCGGTTTCCATAGCTTTTCCTGAAGATTATTTCTACGAAGACTCGTGCTCGCGGTAATTTCAATCCATACGTTCTCGCATCCTATTGCATCGTATTTTTGCGTCCATTCTACGCAGCAAATTCGTGCGACCAGCGCAGCATAACCTAGTCTCTCGTGATCCGTTGTGCGTGCATCGTGCGTGCATGTCCCTCTTGCATTCCACATCGCGCGAAGCGACCATGGCAATGAACGAGGACCTCGGTTTCGCTGAACTTTGCCGGCTGTGCTCGCTCAAAAGCAATCATCAGCTGCAGATATTCGACAAGGAGAGCGAGCAACGGCAGTTGCTGTTTAAAATACGTTCCTGCGTGCCCATTGTGGTAAGTAAAAACGAGAATTTGCTCCGATCCAGGATCGCATTGTTGCCGGTTGTGTCGATTGAGAGGGATGGGGGAGAGGGGAAGCTGCCCAAAATTTTCCGTTCGACACGTGAAATTCAGATGCAAATTTTAACTTTTGTATTGGAATTTTTTAAAAATCGTTTGCACATTAAAAATATCCCGTACACATCGAAGTGTCTTTGTAAAAAATAAAATTGCGAATTGAATTGTTTAAAGACTCGTATTTTGTTAAGAAGAAAAAAAGGATATTGTACTAAGAATATTGAACAGTGATTAAAAAATGCGTCATTAATTCCATATGCAATATATGCAAAGTTATCTGCATGGTATGATTTGAATAACTGCTGTTCTCGAAGTTCTTTGGAGTAACTCTAAAGAGTGATAAAATTGAACTAGTTGTGAAAAAGAGTGGCTCAAAAATTTCAATCTTTGATGGTGAGATTTCTCACTTGAAAGATTTGCTCTTAAAAATTTCAGAGTTGCTTTATGCTCCAATGGTCCAGTATTGAAATAATTAATGACTTTACTTTTTGTTAAGGATCATATAAAAGAATGTAGATAATGATTTAAGTAGTAAACGGATTTACCAATCACGGTCATGAATTGTTGTAAATGTACTTTTTTCATTAAAAAATTCTTAATTATGAGTAATTGGATTTTCGACTTACTGCTTAATGTCCATTTCCACCAATATATTAATTCTAATTTCCATTTGACTTACTTTTTGTTTTTTTCTAGTTCCAAGAATTAGAAAAAGATAAAGAGTATGTTAAACCAAAATTACATTATGTGTGGTAAAAATGAATACAGGTTTTATTATACTTTTAATTTTATTAGTTTTATATATTTTTCTACATGGGGGGGGGGGCCTGGCTTAAGATAATCGACCTACTTACTTTGTTGCATTAAAAACAATTGATTAAATTATGATTAAATATATTGATTTTCTTTATTATTATCTTGTATTTTTTTTTGTCTCATTTATGTCCTTATAATGTTGGAAAGAAAAACAATCACAGTTCAAAGTGAAATGATTATTGTGAAAAATTCTAAAATCAGATTTTGCTAGTTATAATTTTAATAAAACATGAGATTATTTTGTCACAGATAGGAAAAGAGGATGGACTGCCTAAAAATATCTGTCAGAGATGTATCTACAAGTTAGATATGTTCTACGAATTTCGTCTTAGCTGCATATCCACAGAATCCATATTAAAGAATTATGCAGAATCCTTGAAAAACATTGTTACGCTTAATAGTCAGGTAAGTATATTTTTTTCTATATATAAAGATTGTGTTAAATTGCGTGAAACTTTTATAGTAAATATATTATTACAATTTCACAACTTGTAACAAGATCACGTGTATTCTGATTTTGTTTAAATTTTGTGTTATATATTTTTAATCTGTGCAATATCCAATAATATGACGACATTTATAATATTGTGAGAAATTGAGTGTTCATGTTATTGGATATACAGGTGACTGCAAACACAGCAAAATTAGTAAAACGATTAGTAAAACGAAATCAATCAATTGATAATATTAATTTTTCGAAGAAAAATGTGTTATTCATTCAAAACTGCTTGTTAAACAACACTAATTTTCTCAAATATCCACAAGTTGGAAATTTTATTAATGCAAACTCGTATTCATAAGTGTTAAGGTGACTCTACATGATCAATAATACTGTCAGTATTAACAAGTACTGATAACATTACTAATTGTGTACAATTAAATAGATAAATTGACGTAGAATACTGATGATGATCTGAATTTTGATTCTCGAGCATCAGTGCATCAGTATTGTTTTATTCGGATTCATGTCACAGTATGTTATAGTACAATAAATAACGTAATTAAAAGCTAAAGTAAAATATATTATCTGACAATAATACTGATCGTATAAAGTTATAAAAATACTAAAAATATTGATGCACTTTCAATATTATTGATCAGTAGGGAAGACCGGGGATAGTTGATACATAGGGCATTTATTATTATTTACATTTAAAATTACTGCAAAATAACAAACGATAATATTTCACAAAAAGTATAGTATTTCTGCAAACATATTGCAGTTGTGGTGCAATGAGTTTATTTCAGAATAGCAGTTTTTCAAAGATAGAAAATATTTCAGCTTTTGATAGCCAAAAGTAAAATAATAAATCAGTAATATATTAAATTATATTTATCACTGTGTTCATTATATCATAATTCCAATTATTTCTTTAGAATCTTTACAAGTAATAACTTACAGTTATATTTATCTTGCAAAAATATATGTCATATATTTGACATATATTTTTGCTTAAACAAGAATTAAAATATAGCAAGCCGGCACTAGTTATTAAGAGATTTGTTGTTGCAGCAGTTTCTGCTTGTCTGCCGTTATAAGTTAGAGCGAGTTTTTTAATTCATCGATTGATCCATCGCATTGTGCGCAAATGTAATTTTGTTCTGTAAAAACTGCATTTGGTATTTGCGGCAATGAGCTTTCGAGTTCCTAACGCCTAATAATAATAATAATAATAATAATAATAAAAACTGTATTTGCGCATAATGTGATTGATCAATCGATGAATTAAAAAATTCGTCCATAATCTCGATATAACCTCAATGCAACAGCGGCAATTGATATTGTGATCTTATGTAAGATTTCATCGTATCGCGTTAACGTTTCTTATTAAATATTCAAATAACATAATTACACATATCTGTAGTAATTGCGTATTACCTGAAAATTATTAATAAAGTTATGCACATTTTTCTTTTTGAAATTTAGATCTATAACAACTGATTCCAATAACTGTAATAACTAACTCTGCGCGTGGAGTCGGTTATTACAAGTATCATCACCTCATGTTTTCTATTAATAAACAAAATCACACTATTAAATTATAAAAATAATTTCTATATTGTTTCTATATTGCTTTATGGCTATTGAAAAATTCTCTTGCAATGTATTTCATTTATTAGTTACGGATAAAAAAATCATAAAAACTGTGTCAATTATCTCCTATTATTGATCGCATAGAATCATCTTAAAACTCTATATAACACACTCCAGTATTCTTTTTCTTTCTCTCTTTCCTCTTCCTTATAATGATCAATTGATTTCTACCAATGTACATTGAAAGAAAATTTTTTGGTATTTGTAATTATAATTACACACACATATTATTACAATATAATTATGATTATTACTGTTATAATATTAGGAATAATAATCCCCTATGTGTATACTTCTAGCAACAAATTACAATTATAGTAATATGTAATGTATTATAGTTACAAATACCAAATAATTTTCTCTTAGTGTAGACTAACTTTAATCTTGGTAAACTTTAATTTATTCTTCATCCTTTTCTAGTTTAAAAAATTAGAAAAAGACAAAGAGTAAGTTGAACCGAAATTTAAGTTAATCTGTATTGATAGAAAGCATTTAGTAATGTAGCGATCTTCAGTATCTTCTAAAAAATGCTGCAACAAGTGACTGATTATGTGAAACTAAAATTAAGTCAAATTTTATCAATGGCTGTTATCAATGGCGCGAGGAGTATTGCTGCATATCTTTTTTCTTCTTCCGTGCTTCTGGTCGATCAGACAGGAGCAGAGGTCCTGTCGGATGGTGGGTTGTGAAGAGGCGACGGGGGAAGCGCGCGCTGGGGCATCGTTGATC